CAACAACAACAAGATAGTAAAACACACAAAAGCACAAGAGAAGAATGACCAATCAAAAGCAAAATACGAAAAAGGAAATTTCTCTTATGAAGGCGAGACTAACACAAATAATGGATGATTTTCAGACTGTGGTTCGAAATATATTTAAAGAACGAAAAAAGCACAGCAGAGGGCACGAGCTAGGGGTGGTCTTAAAACAAATGGAGGAAGAAGATGAGCAACTCAGTGTGATGCAGTTAATACTTGACATGCCTTTTCCAGCCATAATCTTAGTAACTCCTACCAAATGACTGGGCGGCACCACCCAGAATAGGGGATGTGGAACTCCAACATGGGATCGTTCTATCATGTCATCCCATTGGGTATAAAATGAGCCGGCGCAGTAGCAAGAATGGGGCTCTCACGATTATCAAATAAGCAGGACCAAGAGGATAGAACATGCCTTGAACTCCAAGATCTCTGCACATTGAACCTCCTTGATCCCAGAGCTAGAGAAGTCTTACACCAGATGAGCACAGAGGAGTTGCGGCAGCAGACCAAGGGCACAAGACAGAGCTGTGGGCTTCCAGGCCCTCAAAGCAAGAAAAGCTCGGTGCCTTTGAGCAAGAGTTTTGATTTTAGTGTGTGGTACCTCCAGGCACGTCCTTGGGGGAACTAGGTTTGCTAACCCACAGAGCTGGAGGGGTGTGCCTTTGGCTGAAGTTTACTAAGGCAGAGTTGAGTGCCTTTGGGGCCGTTGTTGGCCATGCTAAAAGAGTTTTGTAGCATTGCCTGAGAAGGGAAGAGGTCAAGGAACCACACGACTGAGAGTCCGAGGACCAGAGATAGAAATATGCTTGTGAGTATGACCGAAAAGAGCCGCTCTTGACTGAAGAAGTGTATCTAGAACATTCCTGACCCTGAATTGTAACCTGGTTAGTTCCTTAATAAACCTCATCATTGTGAGTATTGTACGTGAGTGCTGCGCGGAGATTGAAGTGAACTATTGAACCCAGCAGAGAAGGGAAAAGTGCCACGAGAGAAGTGGTTGGTGCCAGAATTGGTGTGTGGTTCAGTGCTACTTCATCACTGTAATTTTGCCACTGTTATGAATCAGACAACCCCTGTGAAAGGGTTGCGACCCACAGGTTGAGAACCGCTGCGTTAGATCATAGAGACTTTTTATTTATTGATTGACTTATTGGTGACAGGAAAAGTGGCATCAAATATATATGTAATAAGCACAGCAAAACCAAAGTAAAGATGGATGTTTGAGCACATATGAGTATAAGCATATTGGTATATAGGTAGGTATATATGTACCCATAGGTGAGAACAGAAGTATCTATAGGTATAAGTCAGGAGCCTTGGTGGTGTAGTGGTTGTGTGTTGGGGTGTGATCCACATGGTCAGCAGTTCAAGACCACCAGCAGCTCCAAGAGAGAAACCCACAGGGTGTCACTATGAGTAAGTATTGACTCAATGGCAGGGAGTTTTTGTTTGTTTGTTTATAGGTATAAGTACAAATGCATGAGTAAGGACACATGTATTCATTGAAGACACAAATATGGATGATCCATAGGCATCACCAAACAGTTTCCAAGATTGATGTTCTATGCTTGAAAACCTCGGACTATAGTCTCATGGGGCAACTCCGTCAATTGGCATAAGAGTGTTCACAAAAATCACGTCTGCACCCTAGTGAGTGAGGAATCTTAAAGCTTGCAAGTGGCCACCTGAGACACAGCCAGCAGTCTCTAGTCACCAAGAGGAAAACATTAAGAAAGTTACCGAAAGCTCAGAAAAAAACAGTCTCTATGAGCCACCACCTCATCTGCTCTGAGACCAGAAGAAACAGATGGTACCCAGCTACCACCCCCATCGCCTGCTTTATTTCTTCAGATTCCCAGTCCCAGGGAAGGAGAGACCCTTTTCTGACCACTTAAGCAAAAGTCTAAGGGTTCTGATCGTTCTTAAATTAGGTATGGATTCTTGAGCCAATCGCCATGGCAAGGGAATTCAAATGGGCTGGGCTGCCTCAAGGGCAGTGGTTCGAAACCACTGGCCACTCTGTGGAAGAAAGATAAGCCTTTCGACTCTTGTGATGATTTGCGGTTTAGGAAACCCACAGGGGCAGTTCTGCTCTGTCGTACAGAGTAAATAGGCGTTGATTCCATGTCAAATGAGGAGAGGAATGAGCTTACAACTAGGCTCAAAGTCCTACCTCCTGAAGATAGAAGTCAAGTCTGTTTTCTCTAAAGTGACACGGAACAGCCTAAAGAAAATAGTGGTGCTCTTACCACAGGAAGGGAGGGTGAGTGCCAAGCAGAAAATTCACAGATGTCCTTGACAGAAGTGTATAGCCATTCACTCAACAAGTGTTTTTCAGCATCTCCTTTAGCATCTAGTATCTGCCCCAGGACCTTTGGGCTACCAGTCAGGTTGACACTCACCCAACAGCTCCTTGGGAGCTAGATGGGACTTTCTGCTCCTATAAAGAGTTATAGCCTTGAAAACCCCACCACCCAGTTCTGCTCGACTCAATAGCAGTGGGTGGATGGGTCTGGTACCATGAGCTTTCGAGCTACGATGGTGCGAAATGATGGGCACGTTCTACTCCTTTTCGGAGCTTGTAGTCAGTGGGATCACACCTGTTACTTTTATTGCCTGCCACACACCCTGCAAAATAGAGATGATTTATTGTCGCTCCCCCCCCTTCACGAATGGGAAACTGAGACTCGGACTGATTCACTGACCTGCTTGGGCTACACAAAGATGTGAGGAAGAGTAGAATTCAAATACAGATGTCTGACTTCAAAGCCCTACTCACTCAACTCGCTGCCCATGGAGTCCCCAAGACCACCCTGGGTCTTCCTGGAATGGGTGAGATGGAGGGTTAAGGGTGCGGACTAGGAGAAGGGTTTGTGTTAGCCAAGTTCTCCCCATGGGGTCATCCAGGAGCTAACGGACCATTTCTCCTTTGCAGCATGGTTATCCAAGAGTTCCAGCTGCCCAGTTCCCAGATAAGACTGGTGCCCAAGGTGAACCTGAAACTCTCCATCAGCAATGCCAATATAAGGATCTTTGGAAAATGGAAGGCCCAAAAGAACTTCATGTGCGTGTCCTGCTCAGAGCTGTTGGGTGCATGGGAGGGCTTTTGGGGATACTTGGAAGGAGCTAAATCCATTTGTCCTCTAAAGGGTGTTTAGGGAATTTCTCACATCAGCAGAGTCAGCATAATCCTTGATTAATAACTAACATTGGCCTGACACTTCAGTGCAGGATTTTGGTAAGACTTAATTGGATCATCTGGCCTGGCATGGAAGACAGAGAGGTACCATTAATTTACCACTTTTATTAGTTGGCTAAGGAGCCCTGGTAGCGTAGGGGTTACGCATTTGGGCCGTTGATTATAAGGTCAGCAGTTTGAAACCACCAGCTGCTCCATGGGAGAAAGACGGGCTTTCTCTCCCATAAAGAGTGACAGTCTTGGAAACCCAGGGGCAGTTAGTTCTACCCTGTTCTATAGGGTTTCTAGGAGTCCCCATTGACTCGATGGCAGTAAGAAGGAGTCTGATGTTACAATGGTTAAGTAATCGGCAGTTAACTGAAAATTTGGCAAATCAAATCCAACAGGGGCTCCAAGGGAGAAAGGAACTGACCACCTGCTCCTATAAAGATTAACCAAACCAAACTCACTGCCATCGAATCAATTCGGACTCACAGACACCCTATAGGACAAGGTAGGATTGCCCCTGTGGGTTTCCAAGACTATAATTCTTTACAGGAGTAGACAGCCTCATCTTTCTCCCAAGGAGCTGCTGGTAGTTTTGAACAGCTGACCTTGCAGTTAGCAGCCCAATGCATAACCACTACCTCACCACTCATACAGCTCTTCAAGATTACAGCCTAGGAGACCCTGGACGGCAATGATACTCTGTCTCTTGAGTTGCTACGAGTTGGAATCGACTCAGTGGCTCCCAGGAACAATATCAGCTTGCCGGTGCTTTGGAACATCCTAAATACAGTGCCCTAAAAACAAGAATCCCGGGTGACCCTTTCCTCATCCATGGATCAGCCAGAGTTCAGCTGATCTAGCTTGGGCTCAGCTGGGCAACTCGACTCCTTGTGTATTTCACCCTTCTCCTTTGCCCAGTGAGTGCTCCAGGGCATGACCTTTCGTGACTGCAGAGGTGTGACACAGGACTACAGACACTTGTGGGTCCTCTTCGGGCCTAGGCTCAGAACTGGCCCATGGTCACACCCATCCATATGCCATTGATCAAAGCAAGTCATGTAGCCAAACCTAGCATCAAGGGCTAAGGACATACGCACCACCTATGCTGGGCCACGGCATTTGTGTGCACACAGGGAGGGACTGAAAAGCGGGGCTTACACTCCAATCTCCCACAACTCTGAATGAATCTGCAGTGCTTTACAAGGATTACAGGATTGATCCCCTTCCAACAACACTAGAAAATAAAACAAATCCCAACTCACTGCCAACAAGGAGATTCCAACTCATCATGACCCTAGAGAACAGGGTAGAACTGTCCCTTTGAGTTTCAGAGGCTGTAACTCTATGAAAGTAGAAAGCCTCATCTTTTATCCGAGGAACCACTGGTGGTTCAAACCACTGACCTTGTGGTTAGCAGCTTGGTATGTAGCCCAGTACACTACTAAGGTTCCTCCCCACAACAAGCATTGCCTAGTGCTTCACCTGGGCCCCTTTGCATCTATCATTTTTACTTACTGATCTCTCTCTCTCTCTCTCTCTCTCTCTCTCTCTCTCTCTCTCTCTGTCTCTCTCTCTCACACACACACACACTCACAAATCTATGCTCATCACATGACAGAAGATTTATGTTCACTGTCTTACCCAAAGCTCACTTCATCCTTAAGGTTATTTGGTGCCATTTAATTAAGACTTTTAATTAATTAAAATAACTGGCCCCAAATAACCCAGCTCTTTAGTGGCAAAGCTCTGACTGGCATTCAGGTATCTCGATGCAGGTTCAGGGACTGAGTGAGGAAGCTGCAGCTCAGAGAGGATAAGAAACCCCCCCCAAAGTCACACCTCAGTAGGATGTTAGAGGTTGTGTTTTAAAGCAGTGCTCTACCAGGCAAACGTGGGTTCAAACTTAAGGGTGGAATCCTAGATCTACCACTCAGCTGTTATGTGACCTTGGGCAAGTTGCCTCTGAACCTTAAACATCCCTCCTCTCCTGGAGTCCGGGGTAACCACACCTTCCAGGCTTGGTGTGAACTTTGAATAGTGGGGGGTGGGGTGGGGGGGCGTGGAATACTACAGGGCTGGCTTCCCCATCATTTCCCTTGGTTTCCCTTCAGCAAAGCCCGTGGCAACTTTGGCCTGAGGATGGAGGGCATCTCGATCTCCGAGGACCTGAAGCTGGGTCATGAGTTCCTTTCAGGGCGCACCACCATCACCTGCTCCAGCTGCAGCAGCAACATCAAGCATGTGCACGTGGACATCTCGAGAAGCAGCTTAGGGTACGAGCATCGGGGCTGGGATGAGAGGAGGCCCCTTTGAGGAGCAGGGTCCCTATCCTCCCTGCATTCCAAACTCGCATGTTGAGAGCTGCCACCGTGGCAGGGCCTGTTCAGCGGTCTCGGTGCCGGGCAGAGGGTGCCGGGAGAGGCATGTAAACCACATTGTCCCTGCCTCTGGGGTGCACATCTTCAATCCCATTCACCCAGCAGAACTTTACTGAGCACTTACTGGGCCCAGGCATTCATTCATCCTGCCATTCAATGGAGATCCACTAGGCACCAAAAGCACCCTGGTATAGCGGTGATTAAGGACTGCTGACCAAAGGGCTGTGGTTCAAACCCACCCAGGGGCTCCGTGGGAGAAAGACCTGGTGGGCTGCTCCCCTAAAGAGTACAGCTAGGAAACCCTCTGGGGCAGCCCTGCTCTGCCTCCTGCAGTGGCCACGAGTCAGAAAAGGCAAGCTAAGCCCCTGGCTTGGGTAGCAGGCTCAGGAAACAGTGGTGGCCCATTAAGGTTGACTTACACCATGCCAGACATTTTTTTTTAAGTTGGGATTTAATACATTGGTCATTATCATTCCATATTTCAATCGCATCAGTAGAATGCACCACTGCTACCACAATCTGTTTCCAAACATTTATTTTCTACATGGACTCCCTGAGATCGCCTCCCTTTGACCCCAACACCACTTTTAAGCACACACATGATCTCGTTCAGTCCACACAAGGATTCAATGGTGTTGGCTTACTACTACCCCATTTCCAGAGGGAACACCGAGGCACACAGAGAGAGGAAATAGCTCAAGGTTCCATAGCTCGTGAGTATTCAGAAGGGAGTCAAACCCAATACCACCTGGCACCAGACTCTTAGCCATTCAGCCCTTGTTCTCTTGAACTTTCCAGCCCAACAGGGAGATAGACATTCACCAATCATTGCATGAATGCATGGCTTACAGATAATTACAAAAGAAGGCAAGAGCTGCAAGGTTAAAAAACAAACCAAACTCACTGCCATCGAGTCAATACGGACTCATCTCAGTCCTATAGGACAGGACAGGACTGACCCCATGAGTTACCAAGACTGTAACTGTTTCCAGGAGTAGAAAGCCCTGTTTTTTCCTCTGCCGAGCACACTGGGGGTTTTGAACTTCGGACCTTGGGGACCACAGCCCAATGCCTAACAAACCACTATGCCACCAGGGCTCCTCAAGAGGTACAAGGTGCCGTACAAACATAAAGCAGGAAGGTCTGACCCAATCTGGGGGCTGGTCAGTCCTCCCGGAAGAAATGATCTGTGAGTGGAGATAAAAAGAATAAGTAGGAGCCCGGCTATCAAAAGATATAGCGTCTGGGGTCTTAAAAGCTTGAAGGTAAACAAGCGGCCATCTAGCTCAGAAGCAACAAAGCCCACATGGAACAAC